ATATAGTGAAATAATTTTACCATTATTGGTGAAATTATTTATTTGTTCTCTATTCTGTTATCTTTTATTTACCTTATGCTAAACTAATTGATGGTTATTAGTAAGAATACACTTTGTTCTTTAATCTAGATAATGAAATTTTAAGTTCAGTCTATAAATTCAATTTTTAATTAAATAAATATAGGTGGCTGTTATACATACCCCCCAAATTTGTTATCCGTACCCCCCATGTAAGAAGATCCTAATTTGATTGGATGATGGCTATCACATGATAAATAGTAAATAATCCCTCATAAAAAAATTAACTGGTTGACCCAAGCACGTACGTACGTATGTACATACATATATACTTGGTACGTATATACTATTTTAAACATATTGATAAACGTAACTAATACTTAAAAGGACACAATGCTACATTGCTACGTATCTATATGTAATGATAGATTATTTTCTAATACTTAACTAAGTATAAGACTTCTTTAAAACCTTTTAATCAACCGAATTTACAAATTTTAATGTAATAATAGTATATATACTACATTTTCTTTATCGAAATATAAATAAAAAATTCCGAAATTGTTAAAAATTATAAACACAATAGTAATCTAGTAATTAACGCCTCATTCTGAAACATATGTAAATATAGAAGCTTGTCTTGTATAACTAAAACAGAGAAGTTAATAAATTATAATAAAAAGTGTCAGAATAATTATAGAGTTCCATATAAGCTATGTTAACTAGAGTTAATTTTATAAATAAAAAAAAATTTAATTCAAGGCCCAAAACATAATAGTAGTTAATGCCTATCTAATGACTAAAAAGAGCAAAGAATTTTATTTCTGCACTATATCTAACTATTAGTTGTACAATTAAGATTATATAGTGTATTCAGTACTTCTCTCGCTATTAAGTAAAATGTAACACAAAAATTTGAGTAAAAATCTGAGCCGTACTGAGATCTGTATAACCTGTTCACAATTTTTGATACTAAATTTTAAACATTGCGCCATCTCTGAAACATGCATTAATGATTACCATAGGCGGATATATATAATTAAAATAGAAAGAATCATAATCATTGTCACGGCTGAGGCTAGAATGGCTGAAGCTGAAAATTTTAATTATTTTAATATAAAATTTTGAAACCTTTTGTTAAAAGAATTTTTTAGAGTTAGGTTAATAATAAAAAAAGTATAAGTGGATTTTGGTAAGCTTTATCCCTAATTTCTAGCTTTAGCTGCGACAATCATTTTAATGCGGTTTCAAAAGGTGGCAAGCCTTAATAATCTCTAGCCAGAGAAAGTAAAAATATTGTGATAAAAATTAATTATCGAAGTCAAAAATAGAATAAAAAACTTATCTGTAAAAATTAAACAATCTAATAATAGGAATTTGATTGTAGTTATAGAAATAAAGTTAGTTTAGTTTCTTCTATATTCAATAAAGAATAATATAATAACACTTTACCGGTTTCTAAAAAATCTTAATTTGTGTATTCAAAGTCATGTACTTAATAAAATGAAAAGATTTAATTAGACTAGTCTTTTTTCTCTATAAATTATAAAAAGTCAATTCATTAAAGTTGTGAAATATTGTAAAAATACTTATAAATTATTTCATACTTCAAGTTAAAATGAATTCTAAAAATTACAACAGAATGAATCTACCGATTCCTAAAGTATACAACAGCGCTGATGAACTTTTTCAAACAGTTCAAAGATATGCAATTTCTCAGGGTTTTGCATTAGTAAAAAAAAGAACTCGAAAGAATCGACGCGGTGAATTAAAAAATATGGATATACGTTGTGATAGAGGAGGTGTTTATAATAGTTCTTCAGGTCCTGATGAAGAAACAAGATATAGACAAGGAAGTTCTAGACTCATTAACTGCCCCTATGAATTGCGTGCTGCTCGATGTAATAATGAATGGCATCTGGAGGTTTATAATAATGAGCACAATCATATTCTTGATAATGACATGTCAGGACATCCAATTGCTCGTCAACTTTCAGAGCAACAGTTGGAAACTGTTGCAGCAATGACAGCAGCTGGTTCTCGCCCCAGAGAAATTGTGTCAACTCTTCATCATAATGATACATCAATATTAGTTATAAACAGAGATGTTTATAATGCTCGTGAATGGCTTCGTCAACAAAATTTTGCTGGTCGTAGCCCTATTCAAGCACTCATAGATGAACTTAAAGAAGGCAATTTTACATATGAGTATGAATGTAATGATACAGGCTCTATTACCTACCTTTTCTTCGCGCATAATGAATCTATTGCCCTCACTCGTCAGTATTCTTCTGTTGTTCTTATGGACTGTACTTATAAAACAAACAGGTTTAAAATACCTTTGTTGTGCATTGTTGGTATTACCAGTTTTAATACCACCTTTTACTCTTGTTTTGTCTTTTTGAAAGGGGAAGAAAAAATTGATTACCAATGGGCTCTGGATCATTTTGCTTGCTTGTTTAATGATGTGCCAAAGCCAGGTGTTATTGTAACAGATAGGGAGACTGCCCTTATGAATGCACTTAAAATAACTTTTCTGAATTCAGTAAACTTATTATGTGTGTGGCATATCAGTAAAAATATTTTAAAGAACTGTAAACCACAGTTCCCAAGAGAAACTAAAAATACGGAGAGTAATGAATGGAAATCTTTTCTCTCAAAATGGATTGAATCGTTCAATCAGTAACAGAAAAAGAGTTTGAAGAAAAGTGGAGTGCATTTTGTATTACTTACACCAATAAATCCCGTATTATTGCTTATCTTGAAGATACTTGGTTGCCATTAAAAGAAAAGATTGTTGCTGCGTGGACAAATTCATACTTTCATCTAGGAACAACTGTAACCTCTCGTGTAGAAGGTGCACATTCAACTCTTAAAGCCTATTTACAAGTGTCAACAGGTGATCTTTACTGGGTTCGCACAACAATCTCCCTAGTATATATTCTATATAAATCAATAGCTATTACTATTCATGTTAGTGATATTCCTATTTAATAAACACAATATAATAAATATTAAAATTTTGAAAATAAACTAGGTAGTATCTAATCAAAAGAAAGAATTTGATGCGATGGTTGCATCTGAACGTATCCATATTCCACTTTTTGCGCTCAATAATCCTTTATATATGAATATTAAAGGAAAAGTTACAACTTTCGCCCTTAGAAAGATAAATGAGCAGCACCAAAAGGCAAACTGTGCAACAGTTCAGAAGCCCCTGCCTTTGTGTACCAGATCCTTCTCAAATACAATGGGGCTTCCTTGTGCTCACACTATTAGCCTTTTAGAAAAGGACCAGCCTTTAATGCTCCATAATATACATGAGCATTGGTGGATTCAAGAACATACACCAGTATCAAGAGTTGAAGAAAATGCTGTTCGTGATGAAGATGCTCTGCAGCCTCTTTTGCAGAATCTACAGGATAGATATCAGAAATGGCCAAAGTTCCAACAAACAGCAGCACGGGCAACATTAGACAATATGATCAATGCCCCGACAATGGTTTTGCAAAATCCAAAAGAAGTTTCTACAAGAGGATGCCCTACTATTGCTTCTCAACATAATTCAGAAAACTCAACCAGGAGAGATCCTTCTGGGTTTGAGTTAGTGGAGTATAAAGGACGACACTGTACTCTGTGTCGACAGCCTGGGCACAATTCACGCACTTGCCCAAGTGAAAGGTAATGTTCAAATTTAGTTAGCAAATAAGTTTAAATAAAAAAGTAAAAGGGACGAATACATATCCTTATAATACTGAGTATGCTAGTACAATAAATAATTTAGAGACTGATCTTGCTTTATGTTCAATCGATCTTTATACTACGTTAGTAAAGTACAATAAGTTTGAAAAATAAAAGTATAAGTATAAATATTTTTTCTGGTAACTTAAATCTAAATAGTTGAGATCAAAGCTGATCGCTAAAGTACTTGTACTGAAACATTCAATAAATGTGAAACTGAAATCTTAGAAAGTTAAAATTCTCTTTATTCGTATTACCACATACTATTGTCATGTGATAGCCATCATCCAATCAAATTAGGATCTTCTTACATGGGGGTACGGATAACAAATTTGGGGGTACGTATAACAGCCGCCTAAATATATATAATGTTAATGTTGATAATAATAAAAAAGCGAATGTTAATTTCAAAATATTACTTTGTATATCCAAAATATCATTTATTTTATTTGGTAGATTGAAATGTACTGGTTTTCCATTTGCAATTAAAATTAAAAAATTATTGAAGTCTTCATCGGATAGTAATTGAAAAAATGTGGTGAAGCACTCGAATTCACAAGCTGTTTTACTGTTGCTAAACTTTCATTCATAATAAATCTAATACGGCATACAGCTGTCCAGATTCTTCTCTCCCCTCTGGATTTAATTTGAAGAAATGATTTCATTTTACATCCAATCCATCCACAGATGGATCTGAATGGTGTGGTAATGCCAAGAGGAATTCCGGAATCTTTTTTTTGTTTGATACTCATCTTTTGATTGCTGTCTGGTGGTTCCTTTATGGCCAGTTGGAAAAGAACTGTATATGCATCATAAAGCTTTAAAAAATGGCAAAACCTTTGAAGCTTAACTTCAGCATATACTTTTTTCTATGTTTTTATCAATGCTACTCCACGTTTTTAAACCTTCTTTCACAGATCCTAATTTATTGCCAAAATCAA